AAAAATTGCAATAATATCGTATCGTGCGTTAAGTATTGTGATAATATCGTATCGTGGGATGTATGGTGATTCCCACTTCTAACATGCACTAAGTCCCTGTGTTCTGTTTCTCACAGTGGAAAACGAGACTCACTGTGACTTTGTCAAACTGCGGGAAATGCTGATCAGAGTTAACATGGAGGACCTGCGAGAGCAGACGCACACGCGTCACTATGAACTCTATCGGAGATGTAAATTGGAGGAAATGGGGTTCAAGGACACGGATCCTGACAGCAAGCCCTTCAGGTAGCAGACTGCTTTATTGCAGCTGATTTTTGCATTCATCAGCTTATTTCTACCCCCAACCTCCCATTTACTTTTTACACTTTGGGGGCCTGTAACTGTGAAAGTTTTCATAGTATGGAGGTTAAAATCTTGAATGGTTTTTATAAAATATGCTAAATTTATCTTATAAGAGATTTGCTTTACTGTTTCTATTGCTCATATTTCTTCCCTCTGTCAGTCTGCAGGAAACATATGAAGCTAAGAGGAACGAGTTCATGGGAGAACTGCAAAAGAAGGAAGAAGAAATGAGGCAAATGTTTGTCCAAAGAGTTAAAGAGAAAGAGGCTGAGCTCAAAGAAGCAGAGAAAGAGGTAAGTATCAGCTGCATAAACAGTGTTTATGTGAGCCAGATAAATTTCTGCTTTGTTTTTAAAACACAAAACAACTGTGTCTGTTTCTCGTCACGTAGCTGCACGAGAAATTCGACCGTCTGAAGAAACTCCACCAGGACGAGAAAAAGAAGCTGGAAGAAAAGAAGAAGAGTCTGGACGATGAGGTCAACACATTCAAACAGAAAAAGACTGCCGCAGAGCTGTTGCAGAATCAAGCTCAGCAGGCAGGGGGCTCCACCACACTCAAGAGGGACAAAGAGAGGAAAAAGTGAGTACTGTTATCCCGCTCTGTGGCTTTACCCTCACAGGTGTACCATCGGCTGTGTGACTACAGGAAGTGGAGTATGAAATGAATTTGGGAGGGTGTTGACAAGCCAGTGATAAAATAACTGACTTCAAGGTTTTATATCAGTGTGTATTGGAACTGTCACATCAATATCTCAGTGGTTTATCTGCCACCACTGGTTAATAACCCACCGTGGATTTGTATAATTTGATGCTAATCCATATTAGATTTGTAGAGCTGAAAGGCTCAGGCAAATCCTTATAAGCAGACTTTGACACTGCTCTTTAATTCACAGAGGCAGATGAATGTTCCAGTTTTCCCTCCATATAATAATAGAGATTGTAGTTAGTACTAAATTCCACGCTAAGTGAGCCGACTATAACTCATCGCCAGTGTGGAGAAATAAGAGGAGAAGAGAGGGGAGGGAGACTGGTGAAAATTACAATCTGTCCTCATCTAAATAGTTGAAAAGTAGCCAACTGTCAGCAGAGTTAGATGAATGAATTTCAGTCAGAAATCTTTGCTCTGCAATTAAGCGCTGCTGCTGGTTCACCACAAATCAAACGCTCTCAATACATGTGTGTAAACAGCTTTACACACATGTGCCAATACTTTATACACTTTTCCAAATGCTTTGGTAATAGATCTGACGCTTTTGCTTATGCCACAAGTTTAGTGAGACTGAGGCTGCTATTGCGTGTGCAGCCTGATGTGTTATTGACATTGTCGGTCCCTTCATGGTGCTAATCAACTCCTGGTTGTGTTAAAGCTGATGTGCCTGTTGGAAAAGGAAGAAGACACTTGCACTGAGAGGTTTCTTGTTGCTTTATTTCCTTCTTGCTAACTGATTTTCTTCACAGCCGTTCTAATTTTCTTTTTTAGGCTCTGTCTCAAGGTCACAAATTAAATCTGACTAGCGGGGTCTAATAATCAAGTTCTTTTCAGTCCCCAGGAGACAGTTATTTATGATGAACGTTGTGTTTTGAATGTGTCCTGTGAGTGCATGTGTCACCTATGTTGCATCCGTAATGTTTTCCAGTTAACTCCTCCCACACTTGCTGCATGCTGCGTGAGGCACCTTTTCTGGTAAGACCCCCTTCTTGAGTTACACCGCCAACAGATGTGGAAAAAAAT